GGGTTTGCTGCAGCGGGGCCCTTCATCCCTCCCGCTTGGGTGTTCAGGCCCGGCCGAGCGCACCGATGCCCGGCGTTGGATGCCCTGCACTAATTCAGTGGCGTTTCCATGGGGGTTTCTGTGGCGCTCGGGGACCTGACGGGGTTGTTGCTTTCATATAGAATCATGGAATCTTTTAGGCTGGAAAAGACCTTTTAAGATCATCAAGTCCAACCGTTACTGTTTTCCAGCAGTGACATCTGGAACTGATACATGGCAACGGCCTGAGCCAGTGCTGTGCACGTGGAGGAGCATGGCAACCATAAAATACACAATTAAAGCTTCAAATAAAATTAAACGTGGCTACATGTACACAAAGGGGAAAGCAGCTTGTCCGGGGAGTCCAGCACAGCCAAAGCTTAACCTGGCAGAGCTGAACCTGGAACAAAGCGAACAAATACTACATGCAAGTGCCTAATTCAAGCCTTTTCCTTGCTGTTTTTACATCCCCAAGTTTTTCCTCAGATCATACAACAGCTTTACAGAATAGCGCCAAGGTATTCCCAGTGAGCCCTCGTTGCTTGGCAAGTTTATAACCATGGCACCTTTATCAGTATTTTCTTTCTTCAGAAGAAGGCCCAACCTTCACACAAGTCGAGGCAGGAAGAGCTCTGTTTCGTTTCAAATGCCAATGGAAAGTTTTGATGGAATAAGTCATAAACCCCCAAGCTTTTCCATGAAAGCAGTGAGAACTAGGAATTACCTGTGAGGTAATGGCAATAGCGTAATTTGAGTAGCACCATACTCCTTTGTGGTGAAAGTAAAAAGCACTGTTCAAGGGCGGTGCATGGAGTCTGTGCTTCTAAAAGGGCGAAACCCCTCAAATTAGGGTGCAGTCACCATTCTCAACAATTTATTTTCCTCATCTGGATTAGAGACTTTGGTCCAGTGTTCATTTTCTGGTAAATCAGCTATGTTTGGAACACTTAGAGTCACGTGATAGAGCCTCTGAGAACCCAAAATACTCCCCAGACATAACATTTTTCCAGTAGTAAGTAGGTTTATGTCCTGTCAATACCAGACAACTTCTAGAAGAGCACCAGACACAGAGACAGAAGTGAATATTTCAAAACTGGAAATACTTGGTTTGAGAAAAAACATAGAGATAATGCCATGGGCTGCACGTTTCTGGGACTGGCATCATCTGTCCAGAGAAATAAGTATCCAAGCTCTCATGCCAATTCATTTAGAATGAGATGGATGATGTTTGTGGAGTTTCCAGGGTTAGATACAATTTAATATAATGCTGTCAAAACTGGATCAATATGTTTCTGTGAAGCCCAAATCCTCCTACACAACATGTCAATGGTTTCTAGTTAATCACACTTCTCACAATCACTTTTTCCACAAGGTTGCTGCTGCCAACAGTTTTTCTCATGAAATAGAAAACTTCAGTTTAAGACAAGCCATCCGAAAGAGAAGTATTCAGGTTTGTAGTCAATATTCTATAACAACAGACACACAATTGTTAACGTGTAAACTATGACACTAAATACACTTCTTTATCCCATAGTGGATAGATTCTTATCAGTTAGACAGCCTACGTCCTCTACAGCGTATAAAAAGGACCTGGGTTATCACCACCATTGATATTCAAGAGGAAGACAAAGGACCATTCCCAAAATACGCTGGACAGGTACAAACAACCTCGTAGTAGAAGTTCCTCAGTAAGGTATTCATCACCACAGGTTGCACAATAAAATACTAAAGGTAGGAGAGGGCAAGAATTGGACATTAAACAGCAACTTAAAAAGCCCCTTATTTGTTCAAAGTTGTCTTATTTACACAGAGTTGGATAGAATTGTGTGGTGTGGGTGGTATACTGCTCCTTCCTGTGGGAAGCTGCAGGCATACTCAGGGGAGAGAAGACTACAGAGTGGGAGAGGTATGGGTCATTGCACAGCACTGTGCATGTGCACAGTGTGCAGAGCAGTGATGCTGCAATAAAGAAAGCTGGCGAGTTGGTGGAGACCAAGCCTGCAGGCAAGGCCCATCTGCAAAGGAAAGGTGGGCAGGAAGAGAATTGGTCTGAAGTAATTTTATTTCTGTTCTGTCTTCCCTACTTACGCTGCACTGTGCTACTTCTCTTCTCAAAAGCTGTTCAATAACAAAGCATATAATGCAACAGTAAGATATTTAATCAGTGGATCTGGGGTAGATGAACCTCCAGAAATTGGATTGTTTTCTATAGAAGATGATGCAAATGGACATGTGTATGTACATCGTACTATTGACAGAGAAAAGACCTCGATTTTTCAGGTAACACACTTTAAAAAAATACTTCAAACTGTTTGCAAATATTAATTCCTTTGTCATGGTTAAATGCTTCACAAGAATGAGAAACATGTATAAGAATTTTAAGTGTGTATTTTTATGACCTTTTCCTACTTTAAACCTCTAAATAAATGCTGATTGTCTCATCAGAGACCAATAGGTAACTCCCATATCACTACTGATTATAAATCTTTGTGGCACGTTTAGACTTTCATACAGAATCACAGAATGGTTGGGTTGGAAGGGACCTTAAAGATCATCTATTCTATCTGTATGCTTCTTTTCTATCTTCTGTTTGGCATAACCCTTGATCATAATCTAAAAAATTTAACGGTTGTCCTGAAATTCAAAGTATGTTACAGCTATAGTGTTCAGAACACTGAGTTGTAAACCCAGAAATTCTCAAGAGAATGGAAGCAAATAGTTATGTATTACAGAAAAATAGATAATACCAGAGGAGCTGCAAAGCTGTATTACTGTAACTTTACCTAAGAGTAAGCATTACCTAAGAGTAAGACGTTATAGCAAGTGTATGAATGAAATATGTTTGTTTTCCTCTTGCAAAAAATCTTCAGTTGTGGTCTCCTTATGTTTATTCTGTAATGATGTCTATTTGTGTCTCTGTGGATTAACTGTACCCTATTGATAGTTACCATTCCACGTGGTTTTCCATGCAAGGTCTTGCCTTCCATAATGAATAGATACCTTTTGGAAAGCTTTCTATTTCCCCTCACTGGACAGAATGCTGTTCTAGGGCAGACACTCTGGGCTTGGTTTTAAAGCAGAAATAAGCATAGCAAAGGAGAATTCATCATTCAGAAGTGAATCCTCTGCACGTTCATGGATATGGATCCAAAACATCATAGAAATGCAACTAGAGAGATCTGAAGTACTATTTAATTAAATATTTCAGAATTGGAAGCACATGTGAAAGAATTCTTTTGTCTGGCCCCAAGGATATTGGTGTACTTTATACTAGGCAGTTGTTCCAAATAACCCAGATCCAGCTCCAGGTACTGATTTTTTTAAAGTACCATTTAATACACAGGATGACTATTATCAATCTGTTACCTTTGAAAGGTGAAATAATGACTTAGTAATGCAACTCCGAGCCAAATGCTAGCCATATGTGACAGAAGCAGCTTCAAAATTCTGTTTTTTGTTTTATTTTGATACCTAAATGAAAACATTCATTCCATTCTGATATTTGTGTCGCTACTCATTTAGATACGTTTTGATATTGTGCACAGAAAAACTGGTGAGCCCTTGGACCACCCTTTATTTTTCAAGATAAAGGTTAAAGATATTAATGACAACGCACCTGAGTTTTTGAAGAAGGAGCACAGCATTACAGTAAGAGAGAACCACAGTAAAGGCAAGTGCCATCCAAACAAGGGATAATACTGTTTTGTATGACTGCTCCCTTTTTAATTCCTTTGTCATTCTTTCTCCATTCTTACTAAATCTGTTCTTGTCCCTAGGTTTTACTTAAACACTTACGGGTTTAGGTACTATTTCCAGAGAAGGACTCTTTCCTACCTCTTGACTTGTCTCATTAACCTTGATGTACATTAGCATAATGTTGGAGACATTCTGGAAAAACTCTTAAAATATTTCTTCTTAACTATAATCAAAGACTCTAGCAGACTAATCTGAACTGTGGATTTGGAACTTTCACATGCACACTGCTTCACAGAAGATGGTCAGACACACTGTTTTAGAAAGACAGAGACTGAATCTAGGTGGGTAGGCATGGTGCCAACTCATCAGGAGCTGGCTGAGAGCTGGCGTAAATAACTAGTGAATGTTTTTGATAAAGGAAATTCAGGAGTGTAGTAACTCTGCTGTTGTCTAACAGTACTTTAGGCAGATTTGCCACGCAAATGAGGTGGTGGCCAGAGTCCTTGCAGGGATAACCATAGCCAGAGGAGAAATGATGGGTTTTCTTAGGACTTGTGTGTTCAAGAGCCTGCAGACAGGCCTGAGAAACTCCAGTCAAGACTGAACACTTTTATTAATGTCTGTATTCTTCATCCTAGATGAGCCAGTTTTCCAAGTTACTGCCTTGGACAAAGATGAAGGCGGCACTGCAAATTCTCAGGTGTCCTATTCTCTAAGTATGCAAATGCCCCTTCCAGATGGATTCATATTTAATATTGACCCTACCACAGGATCAATAATTCCATCAGGATGCCTGGATTATAAGGTGATGTACATATGGCAGCTTATTAACGTTTAATGCATGATGCATGTTCACTACTTGTTAACCACGTACAAGGGGAAGGAGCATCTCACATCCAGCTTTGTAGCTGCGACTGGCAAAATGTGGGAACTGCTTCTGCACTAAGTTTTGGACTTCCTTTCTTCTGTTTTTCAGACTGCCAACTCTTTCAAACTTCTGATTAAAGCCAGTGACCATGGAACTCCCCAACTGTCATCTACTGCAACAGTGAACATAGCTGTTGAAGATGCAAACAACCACCTCCCTGTATTTACTAGTGATAATGTAAAGAATACCATTATTACTTTACTGAACCTTTCTAAATGCAGTTCAGTCCTTCCAACTGCTAAATGTACGCGCTAGTGGAAATGGGAACCCTCAGGCACTTGCAGAATCAAGCCAAACCATGTGCAGATGAGGAGAAATATCTCTTAAAAATGTGCACAGTAAGACAATACTTGACCATCGACAGTGAAAAACTTTGTTAGTTTTCTGTGTATGGCACTAGAAGGTTTTTGTCTCACTGTAGCGTAAGGATACCGACAGACTAGCTTTTCTAGCATAAGGTTGCTGATTACAGTCCACTCTTGATAGATCCTAGTGTTGATCCATGAAGACCTCAATGGCGTGCCTGCCGACAAACTCAGTACATCTTAATGGGGCAGTTAGGTGTGGTAGCAATGCTTCTGCTGGCATATTCTGTGAGGGTGCTTGTGGAGCATTTGCTGTATAAACGGGAGCAGTTGAGCTTGCTAGCAGGAAGAGGGCTCTGAGGAGTTAAAAGCTGTGAATAGGTAGACAGTTACACTAGAATTCAGATAAGAGCTGTCTGTTTTCAGACTCTGGTCCCATTAATAGCTCAGGTCCCATAAGGACTAGTTTTGTAATTTGCATGTTGACACATTGTTGTGGTTTAACCCTGACTGGCAGCTAAATACCACACAGCTGCTTGCTCACTTCTCCCCACAGTGGGATGGGGGAGAGAATCAGAAAGGTGAAAGTGCAAAAACTTGTGGGTTGAGATAAAGAGAATTTGAGAAGTAAAGCCACATGTGCAAGCAAAGTAAAATAAAGAATTTATTCACCAATTCCCATTGCCAAGCAGATCCAAGGCATCTCCAGGAAAGCAGGGCTCCAACATAATCGTTCCTTGGCAAGACAAATCACTCCAAACGTTTTCTCCTTCCTCCTTCTTCCCATAGCTCTATATGCTGAGCATGATGCCATATGGTGTGGAATATCCCTTTGGTCATTTGGGGTCAGCTGTCCCAGCTGTGACCCCTCCTAACTTCTTGTGCACCCCCAGCCTATTTGCTGGGGGGGTGAGAAACAGAAAAAGGCCTTGACACCGAGTAAGCACTGCTCAGCAGTAACTAAAACATCCCTATGTGATCTACACTGTTTTCATCACAAACCCAAAACACAGCCCCATACTAGCTGCTATGAAGAAAACTAACTCTACCCCAGCCAAAAGCAGTACACACATCCAGAGTGCAGTCATGTCAAGCACTGGTATGTGTAAATATTTGAAGCTGTGAACAGTAATACATACTGGTTTACAACAATGGGTACAAAGTCCACTACGAAAGCAAACAAAAGGTCTCCTACCTGCAGAATGGTGTTTTCAAGACCTGAGGAAAAGAGGGTAGATGATCTGCCAGAACAGGTTTATACAAGAAACCTATGCTTCACCATCATTAACTCCAATCTGGTAAAATTCCCAGCCTTCTCACTGGAGTGATTTGTTCCATCTGTCTGAGAATATGTATTACTATTTACAACATTTTTAGAAGTTGCGATGCAAGGATAGTATGGTTTACATATTAGAAGGCAAGAGACTGAATTTTCAGATCTCAACCAGTGACCAACTGATATGAAGAAAATAAACACAAATTACATTTTATTACCATCTCCTCTTTTAAGACATATTTCTGCCTTGGGTGACTGAATTGGCATTTCTTCGCCTGTCTTTGGAGGGCTAGTTAGGCAAGCTGGTGGCTATGTTGCACCATCAAAAATAGAAACAGTCTTTATTTCTTTCCTTTCCTCTCACAGTACCAGCTGCAGGTTTCAGCAGGTCAAGAACATCCAGCTATATTGCGGCTCCAAGTGGAAGATAAAGACTCTCCCAACACTCCAGCTTGGAGAGCAAAATACAGAGTAGTAAAAGGCAATGAGAAGGAACAGTTCACCATTGAGTCAGATCCAGACACAAATGAAGGCATTTTGAGTATTATCAAGGTAAGGAACAATACCAGACGAGGTACAGCATGGCAGTGTGTAGCATGGTCAGTCTGATTACAAGATCAATAGCTTAGGATCTTAGCTGAGTTTGATGAGCTCAGCTCACCTCTGAGTTCCAGTTATAGAGAGATGACTGCCAAACCAAAGGTCATATAACAGCTAACCAGACTTTTGTCTGTGGTTTTCAGCCTCTCAGCTATGAAGAAGGCTCTGAGATGAGACTTGTTATTTCTGTAGCAAATGAAGAACCTTTCTTCTTGTGCAAAAATGGCAATGTGATGATCTCAAGCCTAGAATCCACGAATACAACTGTGAACATTGAGATTTTACAGTCACGACATGCTCCTAGGTTTCATCCTCCTATACTTATTGTCCAAAAAGAAGATTCAATGAAGCCTGGGAGAGTATTTAGAAGGTATCCTGCCACATATCCAGATGATGTGCCAAATAAGATAAAGTAAGTGGAGATGCTTCTAACTCTCCGAATAAGAAATAGCTTAGGAACATAGAGGTTTTCAAGTCTGATTTAGTGTAGGTACATACATGAATACATATACACAAATATATTTACAGTTGTACGAACGTACACATGAGAGGTGCAGGTTTACTACTGATGATACTGCAGATCTAGATAGTTGGTTCTGTAAGATACAATTTAAAGGTGCAGTCAGTCCTTGGTTGCTCAATGTTTCTTTTTTCTTCAGAATGGTTTTGCCTAAAACCAGGTTGCATAATTTATATCTTACTTTTGATGACAAAGTTTTGATGCCATAAAAAGGACTGAGGTATGCTTGGCTCTAAGAATGGTAATTTGATGTGAAAATTAGATACTTTCTTAGCTCCTAGGAACAGTTTTGATGGGCCTGTATAACGTATGGGGACTAGTATTGGGAACTGTTTGCTAGCTGTGTTGAAACATGCAGCTTGTCATAGTTAACAAAAGTGAGGATAACTAACAAGTAAAAATACCTGAAGAGCTCAGAAGGTCAAAGAAAGATACAGTAGAAATTTTCTATTCTTCAAAATCCATTGAGGAAAATACAGCACTTGTAACTTTCTCCTTCCTTTTAAAGATATGAATTAGCCCATGATCCAGATGGTTGGCTGAGTGTGGATGAGAATTCTGGAGTTCTCACTGTGGCAAGAGAATTTGATCAAGAATCTCCTTATGTGAACAACAGCCTGTACACCATCATCCTTCATGCTATTGATCATGGTAAGTAGCCAGTCAGGATCATGGAATTACAGAATGGTTTAGGTTGGAAGGGACCTTAAAGACCATCTACTTCCACCTCCCTGTCATGGGCAGGGACATCTTCCAGTAGACCTGGTTGTTCCAATCCTCATCCAGCCTGGCCTTGAACACGTCCAGGGATGGGGCATCCACAGCTTCTCTGGGCAACCTGTCCCAGTGCCTCACCACTCTCACAATCATGAATTTCTTCCTGATATCTAACCTATATCTAAATTCTTCCCATTTAAACCCGTTATCCTTTGTCCTGTCACAAGGGGTTTACCTGTTTACCTGACCTTGTAAAAAGTCCCCCTCCAGGTTTCTTATAGCCCCTTAAGGTACTGGAAGGTGCTATAAAGTCTTCCTGGAGCATTCTTTTCTCAAGAACAAGCCCAACTCAGCCAGTCCTCATAGCAGAGGAGCTCCAGCCCTCTGATAATCTTCATGGCCTCCTCTGGACTTACTCCAAACGGTCCATGTCCTTCTTCTGTTGGGGGCTTCAGAGCTGGACGCAGAACTGCAGATGGAGTCTCACAAGGGCAGAGTAGAGGGGCAGAATCACCTCCCTCAACCTGCTGGTCATGCTGCTTTTGGTATGGCCCAAGATTTCTGGGCTGCAAGTGCACATTGCTGGCTTCTGCCAAGCTTCCCATTAACCAACATTCCCAAGTCCTCCTCAGGGCTACTCTCCATTCTTTCTCCACCCAGCCTGTATTTGTGCTTGGAAAATATTCTAGCAGTATTTGGTCTGTTTGAAATGAGGTGCATGTTAGATATAAAACGATAGCAAGACTAAGGATCTAGGTGGAGTATGGTATTACAGAACAAACTAATGTGCTATGTGTGACTAGTAGGATAAATGAGACAGGGATCCTGCCAATGGACTTTTGTCCAAACCCAGTTATGAGTGTTTTTCTGTTTCTTTTGCTCCTATCTAGGTATTCCACCACAGACTGGTACTGGCACCATCCTGCTTTATTTGTCTGACATCAGTGATCGTATGCCAACATTAGCATCTCCTTCTTTAGACGTGTGTGACAAGAAAGAAGGGATGTCTTTCATTATAAAAGCTGAGTCTGCTCCATTCCATTCACATTCTGGGCCATTTACATTTGAGCTACCTGAGGACTCTGAAGATGTGAAGCATAACTGGAAATTAGGAAGGTACTTCGGTGAGTTCTTCCTTTCATGTCCTTCATGAGAAGTTCATTGTCACTTACATGCCCTCTAGCTATTTCACTGTCTCTTACCTTTATGGTTTGTTACTGATTAGTCTCAATGAGACTAAAAGGCCATGGAAGGCTTTCAAAATATAAAGTTACTGCAATTTGGAAAAAAAGGTACATTGTTCTTAGTCTCTGCTGAGGACAGGAGCAGAAGCAATGTTCTCAGATTGCAGAAATGGGGATAAGACAGCTGAGGAACCATTTCTGTGTGAATTCTTCCTAATGAATTTTACAGGTTATCAGTGTAGCTATGCCAGAATGCAGCAAGACTCAGGTCTCTTTGCCCAGAAGGCTCAGCAAGGTGATAAAACGGGATGTCATTTTATCCTATTTACTGTGGTGCATTAGGGATGGAAAACCTATTTGAAATTGGGGTGCAAATGAGTTTCCCTTTGATTATCAGTAGAAGGGACTGTGGAATGTCAGACTTCTTTCTATGAGTCCTGAGATAATTTGCTTGTCTTCTTTTTAGGAAAGTCAGTTGAACTTTTAATGTTAAGAAGCCTCCCACAAGGTAGCTACTTGGTACCCATCGTGATTCAGGACACGCAAGGATTTTCTTCAAGGCAGAATCAGCATGTTAGGATCTGCTTTTGCCCAGATGGACATACATGTAAAGATTCACCAGTTCCACAAGCAGCAGTGGGACTTGGAGGTGGTGCCATTGCAATAATACTGTTGTCTTTCTTCTTACTTCTGGGTAAGTAATCTCCTAACTTAGGCGTGCAAGTTTTCTGTTGTCTGCCCATTGGATCTCATTGCAAATGCAGCTCATGATCATGTGCTAAAATACATCAGCCTTAAGAGGAAAGTGATACACATGATACAACATGTCAGAGAACAGGGTGGTATGCAAGGCTGACAACACAGGGTCACCAAAAAGATCAGTGGAACTTATCTGCACTCATGATTGGGATGTAAAAATGTGAGGATTGTGTATTATAGAGAAGTAAAAAAGGGAAAATAACATAGATACATGGAATACTATTGTAGGAACAACAATAACTATAAGCATATAACCTAGGGGAAAAAAAATCTAAACTAAAAAACCAGAAATGCAATGTTAACAGGTGAAATTTTTCAGCTTGTTACTTGTGAAAATCATGATTATATTGTGTCTAGAAGTTGACTAGAAATTGTGAATGTGTTCTTAACCTGTACTCTAGTACAACAAAGTAAATATTCTTATTTGCATTGAATAAAATGGAGTGCTTGACTTTTTTGACTTTAACCTTATACTGGCTAGATACAAGTAATGAATTTCTCCCATAGGGTTACACTGCTCAGTAACTGCCTGTTACAGAGGTGGGTCTTTTGTAACAGTTTATGTTGGTTACTGCTGAAGAGATCAACTACTGATTATTTATCTGAAGCAAAAATGAATAGATTACCCGACCCCTATTCCTCTGGCTACCTGTGAGTGATCTAGCATGCCTGCTCAGTGCAGAGCTCTGTGGAGATACCAGCTTGGCTTTCTAAAGCAGGCTAACTGCTCCAGGCCAAGCACTGCATCTGCACAGCTACATGGTTGGAGGTTTCTGAGTTAGCTCACTTGGATCTGGGCTGGGTACCTCAGCAACCCACTCTATTGAGCCATAGGGATCTATTCACAGTGCCCATTTCACCATTCCCTTTCTTCTTTCAACAGTTCTCAGTACTCTGCTTTGCCGATTTTACATGCAAAGATCTAAAAGCAAAGCCATTGTTCCAACTCAAGAGGGTGAACAGACTTTAATGAACTATAATGAAGAGAGCAGAATGTCTTTGTCTCAAGTAAGTGCAAGAGAATATATTCACATTACCCCATCAGTGTTGTGTGGCTGAATCTGGTACCAGCCATCTCTTTTATTATGTTTCCTCTGGTTTTGGTACTGAGCAAAATAAAGCTTTTTGCAACTAAGCATATCTGAGGAGTGATGTTCTGCTCGGACTGGACAATGCTACTGTGGTGACAGTCTATTATCACTCCTACCATTTTTCACAATCAGCAGGACCTTTGCAGGTGCCTTATCCTACTGATGAATCCAACACATGAGGAAGCACATCATCTCTTGTCACAGTGCACATTCAATTGCTTTCAACAAGAAAGTAAATGAAAGTGAAAAAGGGAATAGCCTGCAAAAAAGTGTGATCCTTCATGGCCTAGATTAGTTTCTTATTAATACAAACCCTCTCACTGTATGCAGGCCAAGCTGGATACTACAGATTGTGCTGCTGTACCACCTGGGTCTGTGGGGACTGGAACAGAAGTGATTGCTGAGGTAACTGCCTGTTTCTTTATGTAAATGCCCTTTTTTTATAACACAGAAATTGGTAATCTCAAAAATGAGGTTTGGTATTAATAATAGTGGGAAGAATAATGAAATACAGTTCTATTAGAAATGTAATTTGTTGCTATTTAAAATACTGTTGACAACTTATTTGTTTCTATCAGCTTTCCATTTGAGACTGGCACTTTTTTCATTAGTTATTGTTCTAAGTATTTGGATGAATTAATGAGGATTTTTATAACTATAAAATGTACCTATGGGGGTTTGAAGGCTTTTGAGTTTGTTCTGTGGATTTTTGTACTGTATTCTGTAACAGATGTCTGTTTTTATTGTAAAGAATGCCTGAAGGAAATTCTGGTCTACATGAGTAGGTGACTGTGATGTGTTCTGTTCAGAAGTATGTAGTGATCATTCTTTAGCACAATCTCTGCCTTACAGCAGGCAAAGAAAATGTAAAATAGACTTTTCTTTATGTATGTGAGAACCCAATTCTATGATACTTAAGATCATAGTTAGTAGTTAGGAGCTAGGATTACCTGTGTAAGTAGACCTAAAGTTCTGAGGTCATATTTGTTGCCATTAATGAAAAGGAATACAATAAATTTAAAGGAAGAAACATATGTAATTCCTGGAGATTATGAAGAATTCCTACAGTTGGTGACTCCATGTATGCATGGAGTATATACTCATGAGAAGAAGGAGTCCCTGAACAGAAAAAGCTGCAGTGTAACTGGAGAAGACAGCACGAGAGAAATGGGTGTAACCGAGAGGTAGCTGAATTTACTTGTATCTGAAAGAAGTGTTAGTAGGTGACTTTATGCTGGTCAAACCTGAGATACTCTCTGTCTTTTAGGATGGCCTGAACATTAATTACCAGATATTCCGAGTTAGACAGCTTGATTCCATCATGCAGACAGTGGGTAAAATACTGGGTCAGGTAAGAAATGAATGTTGAATCCCTCCCTTATCAAGTTGGCTTGTAAGAATAGGAAAAAAGGCTTGCAAAACTGGAACACTGCTATGGCTTCAGCTACTCTCTCAGCTCATATCTAAGAAGCATTGCAATTGAAAGCAAGGGGTATATTTGATGGGGAAACATTCAAGACTCTTCCTTGTTGAAAATGTCTTGTCTTCTAGACTTCCTGCTGCTTGTGGCTGGTCACCCAGCAGTTACTGCAAGGCTGGGGCCTGTCACCTATAACAAATTCTTCAAGATAAGGAAGTGGGGCTATAATGCTTTCTGTTGCTGTGCAGGTTAAAGTTCAGTCGTCTGTTCTTTCACTTCTGTGCTTCCAGGGAAATCCTAATTCCTCTTACCATGTCCTGTCTGGCCACTGCATGTTCACAGCTGTGTCCTCCATGCCTCCTTGAGCAAGGCTGCATGCCTCCATGCAGTCCTGTTCACTTGATAGCTGGCTGGCCCAGGGCAGATCAGATGCTCCTTTCTGCTCTATTTGTACTTCAAGGGGAAGCTCAGGCCCTGGTGCTTATGCAGCTGAGAGTTTCAGTACAGATTTCCTTTCCAAAGACCCACACTCTTCACCGCCACCTCCTGGCTTACCTCCCTAATTTGCATCCATGAATGTTTTCTTTCCGAAAGGGCAATAGGAGCTTCCATGATGATCTGCATTGTTTCTTCCCTTCTTTAGAAACTATATCACCAAAACACCCTGGAAGATTATGGGGCTATATATGAACCTTACAGATATGCTGAGGAAGGAGAACTAGAGCAAAATAACTCCTGCTCTGTCTCCATTGACAGCGAGGACTTGCCTGTTGATTTTTTGAGCACTCTGGGACCAAAGTTTTATGCTCTGGAAGAAATCTGTGAGAAGCGATTTCCGTCATTCAATTAATTTCAGAAGGCTGTGACTACTTTATGGTGTTGCAAAGGCTTCTGGCAGAAGCACTGAAAAATTTGGAAGAAAAGAGTCACCTGCGCTTGAAAGCGTTGCGATATCTTTGCACAGTGCATACGTGGCCTTTTATTCTTCCTGCCTACACTGTTTGAGTGCCTGAAGCCAAGAACGTGACATGTCTGGAAGGTCCACTATACTCTGAAGAGATGATGTAGTGATTTTGGCTTATTATGTGCAGATTTACACAACAAAAGATCTGATATTAAGGATCCTCAATTTAGTATGCAAAGGGAAAAAAAAAAATCTACTAGGCTAGAAATTCCAGTCAAAGTTCCATATGGAAACAAGCCAGTTTTGAACAGAGAGGGCAATTACCATCTAGGCCAACCATACAGTCCTTTCTCCAGGAAGTGGTATCTTTAAAACCAAGATTAACTTTAGTAGAGTGCCATGCAGATCTGACTTGATAAGCACATCTTTTTTTTCTGTAGGACATTGAAATATCTAAGAGAAAGTGCACTTTTACTCATATTGTGACAGTAACAGCATAATGAGCTGAGAAGCCTGCACCATCCTTTCCTTTTAGCATACAGGCACTTGCTTAGTGCCGGCGAGCTTGTCCTGGCACCTGGTGGCTCTTAGTATTATTACACTATAGAAAACGAAACCCTAAGAAATTGTTGACAGAGGACAACTTGCAGTTATTATTTTCATTCAAATAAAGACCTTGTCTAAAGTAGCTACAGGTGACCATGGTGAAGAAATTCATGGGTTTCCTCAAGCACCAGATAACATGATAAAGAAAGGATAGTATCAAGTTTCCTTGTATGGAAACCACAGATGTGTTGCTTTTAAATTTTGTGATTTGTGCATGTCTGAATGTGTGCAGTTGACCTATGCTTAGTTATAGCATGATGGCTATCGGTATTACAATACATGAATGAGGAAATAATAGCTCACAAGACAGTATTTTGCCAGTAGGTAACTTGTACAGGCAGTAAGAGATGGAATTAGTCACCAATCTTTCTTACTTCTGTTACAGTTCTGTGCTAAAAGAAAAATGTTTTGCCTAAGGCAAGCACTAAGTCTGATATCTAAGGCACAGTTCTTGTTTCAAAGTTTACTTAAACAATAAACTATGCTTTTGCTCAAATGTTATTGACAAATAATTCAAGATTGGAAGCTTCAGTCAAGAGTAATAGAAGAATTTGGCTGAGTGACAGGCAGCTAAGTGTTCCTAAATGCCAGCAGCAGGATCTGTTTACACAACAAATCACTACTCTGATAAACTGTCCTTAACTTATAATTCCAGATGGAAGACTTCAAATCAGGGCAGTGATTTTGCAGCACTGCTAATAGCCAAGATGACTTTTTTACTGCAAACTATAGCCATGTTTGTAAAATCAGAATTCTGCTGTACTTTGCCACTTCTTCTGAAAATTATGCAAGATTAAAAATAAAAATGAAATTATTCTGTGTGTTTTATGTTCATGTAAACTTCTGTTGGATCTACAGATATAAGGAAGAAATTCTTCATGGTGAAGATAGTGAGGCACAGGAACATGTTGCCCAGAGAATCTGTGCTTGCTCCATCCCTAGAAGTGTCCAAGGCCAGGCTGGATGAGGCTTGGAGCAACCTGGTCTAGTGGAAGGTGTCCCTGCCCATGGCAAGGGGTTGGACTATATGATCTTTAAGGTCCCTTCCAACCCAAACCAGTCTGTGATACTATTGCACACCATGCTTACAAACACCAAAACATTAGATGTGATCAGAACCACAGCTGCAACTGCCAGAAAAAATTCTCTCTCTCTTGCATGAAAAAAAAAAAAGAACCTTTTTAATGAAAAGCTATTGTATAGCAACTACGATTGTTCACTGGGGATTCCTACAGTCAAATACAATGTGCCCATACAGGTAGTAACATTCATAATTTCATTGTCTTCAAGGATTTAGAAGATATATACACATTAAGCTAATACAGATTCCCAGCATCATTGTGAGGTAAATATGCAGTGTTCACACTTAACGGAGAAGAAATTAAGGCTGAAAGAGCTCCTTGGTGAACTGTAATCACACAGAGCTTGCAGCAAACTAAGGAATAGCACTTAGCCTTTGTGCTCTGTGTATGTCTTCTTTCACCAATAATGCTGACCATCACAGCAGCTTTTTATGCCATTCCTTTCAACCAGACTTGAGGAATATGCACTCTGCTATGTTCATATCAAACCAGTACTAAATCCAGTATGTACAATCTTGGCGTAAACAGTGATGGAAGTAACAAATAATTAAAACCTTCATTTTATGGAAAAGGGACTAATGCACAGAAATCATGAGTTAGGTCCCATAGTCAGACTTGCAGAATGGATCCAGATTTTCAGAGTCCCCTTTGGCATTGTAATCATTACAGTATCACTATATGCATAATTCCTGTCAAGTCCTGTCATTTATGCAATTAGCTGGACAAAAACTATTCATCCTTTTTCTCACTATGGATTTGTAATCACAGATTTGGTGATGTGACACTTGAACTCTCTTGTTTTGGCAGCAGGGATCAGAATAGCTTTCAGCAGTTTGAGTGGTGAATTAGGTGTCTGTAGCATGCTTTGACATTCCTATATAAAAGTATTCACTCCTATTAAAAGGCACATAGCGGCATTTAAAATATTAGAACAATCATTTGATTGAACTAAACACCTCGTTATACACTTATGTGGTATGTACAGCTTTTTATCTAACTATGCCAAAACATGGATAGATAATCTGTCAGGCATCAGCTGTGGGTGTCTGGACAACAGCAAAACTCAACAGAGGATCCAGGAAGTCCAGTGTTTTAGGTCTGTGCCTCAGCTCCCTATGACAATTACTTCTTTCTCCATCTGTGCATAAGGTTTGAGTTGACATTTCTTCTCAAATGGGAGTGAAGGAAACCTAAATTAATTCATTAATCTCCCACCGTCTTTAAAACTAGAAATTTCTGCTTGAGACACCAGTAACTTTTTAGTGGAGATTAGCAGAAGGGAGGCCCAGGCTGATGAGATATACCTCCACTACTGAATTACTACAATCAAAAAGGTTTATTTAGAGGCTTTCATGAGACACAATGATTACTAAGTAGTGAAAATGAGGCATAAATCAAAGCATTTCTCACCACATCACACATTTGTACCAATCACACTTTCAGTGACACTACTGCAGGAAGCTAGTCAGTACACGGCTGAGGTCTGTATCAGGAGACGAAGGGGTAAGCGTCTGCAGGCAGCATGATTACTAGTGCCACACAACACACTGAATATGATGATGATGTCCCAATCAGGCTTTGAGCCTCAAAACTGCTGTTACCCTGTCACTGAGGGTGACAGGGAGCCATCAGGCTCCCAGCTGCTGAGGGAGCTTTCAAATGATCATATGGAGGTTGATGCAAGGTTCCTGCCTGACACACACCCCTTCTCTGCCACTGCCTTGCAGCAGACCTGGGCTGAGGGTCAGGACCTTCCATCAAGGCAACTCGCCCTATGTGTTCCCAAGGCCCCTCTGCTTCTGCCTGGTGCCCTGTCCCCCTGCCAAGCCAGGCAGCCGGCTCATGCCGCCCACAGAACTGAACAGAAATAGCTCGGGGACGTGCCAGGGCTGTTGTCAGGGGACGGCTGCCTGTGCAAACACAAGCGTGTCTCACCAGTGGCCTCAGCTCATGCTTTGCTCGTACATAATGGCAGAGGAAGCGTGTGAAGCCTCTGGTTTGTTCAGGGTCTGCTTTAAACGAAGTACCTTCATGGCTTGCTGTTTTGTAAATGCTGGTGATGGGCTACAGTGCTTCAATTACCTGTTCACAGTGAGAGGTCTAATCATGACGCCTGTGAATCCCCATTACTGCTGGCCCCTGCTGTGCCCTAGGCAGTGGGAGTCCCAGCAGCACAAATGTTTATCTCCGCACAATCTTCATCTCTGTCTTTGTTTTGCCTCATTTATAAAAATCTTACTTAAAAGTAAATGACACACAATCAGTAAAGAGGAAATTAATCACACTGGAACCAAACTTCTGACACTGAGTTTTAAAGGAGACTGATCATAGGATGGTCCTACGGAGAATGGATGTCGACATGTTAGCAACACAATCTTTTTGTCTCAAGACAGAAAGCATTTCCCCTGTCTGCTGTTCTCTACTCTTCTGAGCAATGGCAGATCCCCCGGGATCTTTAGGCTGCCACAGAAGGAGTACAAGTTTTAATCAAATCTTTCTGTGCCAGTTTGGGGTCATTTTCTTCTTTCTGAAGGATCCATTTTTCCTGATTAAGGTATCACAAGAAGTCATTTAAAGGACAAATAAATGACTAGAGATTTTGCAAGTGAAGGGTAAAGCCCCTGCTGAGTGGTCTATAATTAGTTCCTTCTATTAATGGCTTAGGTGGTGGTGTACTTCACAGTCCTAATAATTAAACAGTAACAGTGTGTTGGATTAGTGTTTTAAAAAACCCACAGACCAAGCTGGGGACTTTTCTCAAGGTTTTCTGAGACCAAGGAGGGAACAGAGAATGTAGCACCTGTGGTAGTGGCAAACTGTCTAGGCAGTTCAAAAGCCACTATCACCTTCAAAGAAACGGAAAATGTGCTTTTTCTATCTTAACATGCGTTGATGCTGAAGTTTGAAAATAATGAATTATGCCATTCCAATGTGGCTTTCCACTTTGGCCTCTAATTGCACTTTGATTGGAAAGCTGGTGACTGGGGGGAAGTGAGGGAAGACACAGAAAGCACAGGCAAGCAGGTGCTGTACTGTCGTTCCCTTGTGCCATTCTGCTCTGCACACTCCCATTATTGCATACTTGTCAAAAGTGATGAGCAGTCTGCAAAATGGAAGCCTCTACTCTCGTTAGCAGAACATGACACATTGACCTGGATCTGACCAGGATACTTTCTTGATGTCTAGAATAACATAATCCACAATGTCTACCACAAATTACTTAATTTTGTCCTGAATACACGTTGCTTAGGGACTGGT